CCCCAAAACCCCAAAACCCCAAAACCCCAAAACCCCATTATTTAACTGCAAGATTGAAAGTTTAGTAATAAATTATATCATTCATGTCAGCAAATACTCCAATTCACTAATTCTGGGATGGTTCCTTCTAAACTTTCGCTGAGGACTACAATGAATCTTCTGGTAAAAATAGCCTCTATACTTGAGGATCAACAAGAGCTGACTTGCAGGAAACAAGGATGCAAATATCTGTCTGATAGATCTTGATGATATGGTTGATAACCATAATGCTTGAAGCTCAAGTCTTCCCCCAAGAACCATATTAAACAAAAGAAGAGATGCGATTACAAACTTCGTCAGGAGGAATCATATACTGCTTCTCATTTTAAAACTAAAGAAAGCTTATCTGAAAGCCTAAATTTTCACTAAATTCTTCCATTGAACAAGAATTCTACTACAGCTATATTCAGAAAGGATGGAAGCCTCAAAGCTGGAAGGAGAAGTGTAAAATCGATCAGAAGAAATCATCCACAACTATTCTTAGGGCTATGAAGGCTATGCCATAAGAAAAGCTGAGTCTTTAAAACCTTGTCTAATTGAAAATTACCCTATAATACTCTATTGATAAATTTCACAATATGTTTTCTTCATGGGTTCAGAGTCTGACCTATACATTGGTGAAGATGCTTACATCAACCACTTTCAGAGTCAACTGTGCTGAATTCTGGATTATATTTGGCCTATTCTCACTTAAAAACCTAGTAATGCGGTCCCAGATTTGCTAGAAATAAAGATGCTTACCTAGCCACAATCCTGTCTTATGTATATTTAGACATAATATAAAGAATATATAAAAGATGCTCTAAGAAATACAAGAAAAGAATGATTGCTGTATAAACAGCAAGAGCAAACTAATCCTTCTAAAATTTGCTTCTGACTAATTCAATAGTTTAATTTACTTTTGAATATGACAAAAGGTCTTGCCTAGGGTAATTCCTAATAGCTTCATCTAGCATGATGAATGATGGGATAGAGTACTGTGCAGCCGATCTATTATAAGGCTTGTCTTTCCAGATTTCAGGGCTTGCATAATAAGGAGTTCCTGTTGAGTAGACAGTAGGCCTGCCTTAGCCACTTTGGAGACTTTTAGGTCTCCTAACTTAGCAATTCCATCATTATTAAGGAAGATATTTCACTCTTTTTCTGAAACCTTAAATTTACCTTCACATCCCTATGAAAAATGTTATCTCTATGAAAGCTATTCAGCTCTCTTACTATTAGGATAAAGGTTTTCATACAGGATTATACCAAACTTCACCAGATATAGATCTCATCAAACTTTATCTGAAGTTTACGGTTATTGATGTTTTTATTGATACAAGTCTCTATCATTAGCATACTCCACAATGATGCATAAGGATAAACTCTCTTTTTCATAGAAAGCTTCTTTGTAAGAGATCACATTCTTGTTATCGATAGACGCTAAGATCCTTACTTCATTTAGGGAATTCGTTATTTCTTTCTTATTCAATGACTCTATTTTAATGCCAAAGGGATTAAACTCTACAGGGTTAGATGAAGACACTTCACTTTTTCAATGTATATACAGTGTTATCGGTGATTCAAAGCACCTTGTAAACTTCACTATAAGGTCCTTCTCCTATTTCATAGCCATAACAAGATATTTGGGTTAGATTATTTTTAAGACTGGAAAATTCTAAAGTAAGACTTTCCATAAGAAAATTTCATATTAAGTTAAGCACCCTTTGTTCTGAGAACTTAAAACTTTGGTGAAAGGGTACTCAATTTTTTGAAAAATTTCTAAAGTTTCAAGAAAGGCTTTCTTCATTTAACACCTCAATTTTCCAGAGAATATTGATTTTCTGATCCAATTTTTCGATAATCTATACAGAGGAGTTATTAGTGTCAGAATTGATAAGAGAAAATACTAAATCTCTATCTGGGACACTAAAATTATAAAAACTAACCTCAAATTGCTCCATCACTTAACAATTATAATCAATATTTGTTCGCTTCACAGGGGTTTTGGGGTTTTGGGGTTTTGGGG